AACTAAACAAAAATAATTTAAGTACTTATTTATAAAATATGTATGGACACAATTAAAAGATACATAAAAAAAGGCGTTTTTCATTATCCTGTTGCATGACTAGCAGAAAGTGAAAAAGACCAGGTAAGATGAAATGAGGACCTTTGGTAAGAATATTGTTTTTGGTTTGGGAAAAAGGTACAAAATAAATTTCATTAACAATAGGTTTTTGAGAAGGGCAACCTGCACCAGATGAGTAGGGCTAGTATAAAAGGACTTAATGACAGCTTTAGCTCCTTCTGATTACGTCTGACATATGCCGTCTCCATCTAAAAAGCCTTTCGAGACTACCTTTCCGGTGCTTCACGAGCCTTCGAAATCCCTCTAACTTATAAAAGTCATTCTTAACAATCAAAACTAAAAAAATAAAAATTTTCAATTTTTATCAAAAAAATAATGAACCTACCAAAAAAAAAACAGCAATACTTTTTGTTTATATAAATTAATTACGTTATTCAAGACTTTCAATGCTACTTATTGCATGCAAAGAACAACTTACTTTAAGAAGAGGGAAATTAAGACGGCACAGCTATGGCATGGCAATTTAGGAATAAACAGGTGTGAAGATCAGAGAAAGAAACTTAAGAAATAGCTAATTATGTACGAAGTTTTTTAGATAGTAGCAAGCAGGTAGAGGTAATAAATAGAAAATATCCAAGTCATTTAAGTCTGCAAAGTGTCTAGTGAAGCAAGGTTGTCCCCAAACTTCGGCCACTGTGCTTATATTGTTATATCAGCCAAGAAACATCATCGTCATGCATTAGGAAAACATTCTAAAGTTTGGAGTCATGACAACTTGCAAGAGGTATCACAATAAGCTAATATTTGTACTCTGTAGTAGCAGTATAGTACGGTAGTAGTAAAGTTGTAGTCAAGATAGTGGAAGTCACGCGTCCATTTTAGTTAAGTGCCAAAAAATGTAACGCTAAATACGGAACAATTTTTTTTAACGCGAATTTGAGTTTCTACTTATTTGAAATTCATGCAATACAATTTTCTACAATAAAGACACTAACAGAGTGTAAAAACCCTCAAGGAATTATTTTCAAAATTAAAACGTTTTATGACCACAATGTAAGTGCCAAAAAATATTACCGCGTTGTGGTCAAAACACACCACGCAGGATGTGATCGCGAAATATTTTAGTACCCTTGGGACCCGCAGACTTTTACGCGTTATATCGTAGGGATTAATGATATACATTGTGATAAAGTTTCAGATTGATCTACAGCATCACTATGAGTGCATTATGGGAATTACTGACACAATGGCGTCTGGTTAATGTTGTGAATTATTACCTATAAAATAGTTATGTAAACATTGTGTTGGAACAGATCATTAACGTTGAGATCGTGCAAACATTTTTGCACCTTATAAGCACGCATATTTCTATCACGTTGTAGTACCTACTGGGAATTATTAGCACGTTGTGATCACGTTGTGTTGTGGCCGATTACGTACAAGATCGCTATGGTCGTTACACCAGGATGCATCATTTATTTTGGGATGTATGTCTGGTGTGAATGATTATCTAGAAGATCGTTATGGGCATTGTGTCGAAACAGATCATTTACGTTGAGATGTCGCAAATATGTTTGCACCTTGTATGCACACAGACTTCTATCACGTTGTGGTACTGGGAATTATTAGTACGTTGTGTTGTGGCCAATTACGTACAAGATCGCTACAAGCGTTTCATCAGGATACATCATTTTATCTTGGGATGTATGTCTGGTATGAATGATTATCTACAAAATCGTTAAGGGCATTGTGTCGGAACAGACCATTTACGTTGAGATAGCGTAAATATTTTTGTACATTGAAGATTCGCGGACTTCTATCAGATTGTGGTACTGGGAATTATTAGCACGTTGTGATCACGTTATGCGTTGTGGCCGATTACGTACAAGATCGCTACGCGCTTTGCATCAGGATGCATCATTTATGTTAGGATGTAAGTCTGGTGTGAATGATTATCTACAAAATCGTTAAGCGCATTGTGTCGGAACTGACCATTTACGTTGAGATAGCGCAAACATTTTTGCACCTTGTATGCGCGCAGACTTCTATTACGTTGTGGTAGTGGGAATTATTAACGTATGGATTAAACTGATACGTTGTGATTACGCAAACATTTTTGCAGTTTGTAGACTTTTGTACGTTGTAATCGCCGGAATTATTGATACGTTGTGATCAAGTTATACGTTGCGTTTATTACGTGTAAGACCGCCACGAGCTTTATATCACAATACATTATTTATGTTGGGATTAGTTATTTGTTGTAAATGAATATTATCCACAAGATCGCTAGAAGCGCTGTCAGAATGTACACTATTTACGTTGTGTTCATGCAAATAGTTGTAACTTATGCCCGCGTAAACTATATTACATTGTGGTTGTGGGAATAACTAACAAATTTAATCAAGTTATATGTTGTGATTTATTATTATCCACATGACTATTATTGAGCGTATTGTATCAGAATATGTTGTGATTGCGTAAAGTTTTGTATACCGCAATGTTTCCTACATTGTGGGAATTAAACTGATACGTTGTGATTAACTCATATTTGTGATTGATTGTGTTAAAGATTGCTGAGTGCGTTATCAAAAGTAGACCGATTGCGAAGACTTTTTTGTACTTTGTAGTTGTGCAAGCTTTTATACGTTGTGGTCAGCGAAACTATTGTTACGTTGTGGATATTGTGGTCACGTTATAAATTGTGATTATAAGATTATTGCGTAGCATATGCCTTTTTATGTTTTGCAAAGAGGAAAATTTAATGGATTAGTTTCAAATTGTAAGTACATTGTGGTGTAGAGTATTATGAGATGTGAAAATTAGTATGGTAGGAATATGGGCGGGAAAACAAAAATTCTGAAAATGCAAACACAAGCAGGTGTGGTTAACTTTCAAATACCAGCGGATCAGAATATCAAAGAGCATTTAAGAACTTGTAAGACAATGGTAGGTCTCATTTGAAGCATGTTTTGTTATCAATACTGAAATCTAGTTAAACAACATCGATCATTTTCTGAATGACACACGCACCATTAGTCAATATTTGATGTAAAAGGTCCGTCTTCTGTATTAGGTACCTACACCTGATCTACGACCCGAACAAGTGGGTGGTGAATGGCCCGTAAGCCTTTCTGCGCATACCATCAACCATTCTAAGTACGTAGTCTGTACCAGAAATTATACTTTTTAATTCGTTCAATAACATCTCAGCTGGCAAAATCCTGTTCCTATTCAAACAGATTTCGAATAATTTTTCATATTTTTCAAACGTCAAGGAAATTATATTAATATACACATTCAGGTAACCGACCATCGGCAGCTGCATGGTCCCCGAGGAATAAAATGTACCTAGACATCACTTCGGCGTCCCATCATAATCGAAAAAGTGGACGTATTTTTGAAAACTATGAATCAATTAGACGAGTTGGTTAAGATCGAATTTAATTCGGTTCTATTAAGATTGAAATAGAGGAAGAACGCGGACGAAAAAAACGTTAGGCACTGGTTAGGTTGTTATAAAAAGAAATTGTCCATGCACCAAGGCACAGTTCGGTTTGAAAATAAGCGGACAAAGGAAATTTTTGCCGACCTCATCGTAGCTGGTCCAAACTGTCAGGAAAGATCATTACTCATAAAAGTAAGCTATCACTAGAATATTCCAGACAGAGAGCACCGAATCTAACTCCCATTGTCAAATTATTAATCTGACTATGGCAGGCAACAACTTCCATCAGACCTAACAGCATGGAGCTAAGTATTTTACATTAGAGTCCACCCTATTATTATTAAGAGCACCATTACGACATATACCGAGCATTCATACGAACCGCCAGTTAATTATTTGAAAAGTATTTGATCTAAAAACCATCCAATTTCGCACGCTACCCACTAAATAACATTGACATCCACAGTTTTCGGGAATTCCGTGGAAGATACCTATATTTTAGGAGAGTGAACTATAATGAAGGAAAAACATTATTTTGGTAAAAATATGGGTACAAGAAAAGGTACCTTCATTCTTCCCTATTTCCAAAACTAATGAGATTAAAATTATGAATAATTGGGGGTTAATAATCCATAAGTTTTACAAACTTTGTACCAAAAAGGGCTGTCGGTGGAGTTTTGGAGAAGTTGACGATTTTTAATGGCATGGTTACGAAACCTTCGGCGCATATTTTACCACACGTATTTGCCATTCACTTACCTGAATTATGTAGTATTTTCAATAAACATTTATTATTATTATTTCGCAATGTTACCATATATATATATACTTTAGTCATATTGTAACCATTTCTCGTAAAACTAACTGTATTTTTAATCGTTCTTGTAAACAAACTATCTATGATGATGATTCTAAAATTAGCATCATTTATCTTGAATAAATATTTAATAAGTACCTGAACAAGAGTGCTTCATATTGCCTGAATTTTTGCGATTACTTTTGCTAGTAAATATTAATTTTCTTTTTACGAATAAAAATAAATATAGTCGTAACAATTTTATAACAAGTTGGAAAAAACGTTTTATTCTTGTGTTAACACATCATCATCATCAGGCAATGTAAAGTTTCGTCATGCGACGTAAAGGAAATAATGGAAATTATATCGTCATTTATAACAATTATAGACCATCTTAAACCGTGGCAAAACAGCTGTTTATCTAATTCAGGTCAAAACCTAATATTACTTTTTACCATCACAAATTTGAAGAATTAGACATTCGACCGCCAGAACAATTTAAACATCCATGTTTACAATAGCAACAAATAACCGATGAATGAAGAACAATTGTTAATTAAAAATAATTCCTCCGTTTCTACTAATATTATTAATTACGTAAAAAAAAAAACAAATCAGCAACTACTGAGCTAACTACACTTACAGTATAACAGATACCCAAAATGCAAATAAAAACAATAAATAATAAAAGGCACTAACCTGTTTCTGTATCGATGGTATAGTTCAAGCCAACCCATGGGTCGATTTCTTTCGCCTCTTCCTCAGGGACCTAAGAAAATTAATTTTTTTTATAATACATAATATTTATCGTCCTCGGCGATTATGCAGGTCTTACTTTATTGACTGATTCATCATTTATTTTTGCCAATTCTTTCAATTTCTCGATATCATCTTCACCCGAAGTGGGTACCGAATCATTGACCTTATTTTCGCCAGGTTTTTCGGGTTCTTGATCAACAATTGGCTCCAAAGAAAAACCCAGGTCGACATCTTGCTTCCACAAAACTTCAATCAAGTCCATATCCTGCAAGAGAAAAAAGGACTCAATCTCTTTTGGAGCGGCTCTATAGATAGCAAATATTTGAAACGACCAACTTTGGAAGAAATCATTTTCAAAGATTAATTAGATATACATACGAAACAAGTAAGTATTCATAAGTTGATAAATAAAGTAGAAACGCCCTTGTCAAACAAAACAAAATGAATATTAATTTTATTCTGGAACTGGGAATGAATTTCACTTTTACAAACACGAAAAAAGGCACATGCAAATAGCGTTAAGTAACAAAAAAAAAAAAGACCTATTTAGTTTGACATTTCCTTCTGCATAACACATTTCTGTTATATTATACTTCTGTATGCAGTGTGGGCCTTTCGTGTCTTTTGAAAGTAATTATTTTTATGTTGGAAGGAAGCCCGGCGCGGCGTGAAGTATTAATAATAAACGTAATAAAAAGGAACGCGTATCTGCAGGACTCCAAGATGGCGGCTTTTAGAAGGCACGCGGGACGCCAAGGTGTGGTTTTCTGTTACCCTACTGTTAACCGACACCCATTGTCTATACGCTCCTCCCTACACAATAATCTATACAAGACCATAATAAATTTTCTCATTAACTACTACGTTCGTTAACATAAGAATGCGTGCTGCTTTCAATTCTTTCACAAAATGAACAAAAAAAATGCCATACATATTTATTACTTCCAGCATGAGAAACAATGGAATCTCTTACAAACTACGTCCGATATTAATACACGCTGACTTTTTCTTCGTTCGTTTTAACGCAACATTTTTTTGTAAACTACACACACATTTAAAAAACAGTCTTTAAAAAAACAGTTACTGACTAATTCTGAATACTTAGACTGCAAGGAAAATTTTTAAAGAGACAGAACTTTCGTTATTGCAAAAGTTTTTTCATATACGCTTGAACCAAAGTGACATTACCTAACAATTTCTTTCATTCTTAAAATGTGAAACTAAATTGGTGCACAAATCGCTCATAAACTTCCAAAAAATAGTGCATGAACTTAGAGAAAATAGAAGTGGCGGAAGATAAGGCGGTACTACATGTGTAGTATCTTTTGGGCAAAGCGCCAATATCTACAAAACTTCCAGAAAATTGAAGTGGCTGATGATAAGCCAGTATTACGTGTGCAACTAGTTCGTCAATGTTTTGTTTTTCACAGTTTTTTTGGTCAAACTGCTGATGATACAAAGAACAAAAGGGTGCATAGATCGTTCGCTATCCATAAACTTCCAAAAAATAGAAGTGGCAGATGATAAGTCTGTACTACGTGTGTAACTAGTTCGTTAATGTTTTGTGTTTCATAGCTCATTTGGGCAAACTCCTTATAGAAAGAACAAAAAGATACAGAAACCATTCATAAACATCCAGAAAATAGTCCATGAACTTCCAGCAAATAGAAGTGGCCGATGATAAGTCTGTACTACCTGTGTAACTAGTTCGTTAATGTTTTGTGTTTCATAGCTCATTTGGGCAAACTCCTTATAGAAAGAACAAAAAGATACAGAAATCGTTCATAAACATCCAGAAAATAGTCCATGAACTTCCAGAAAATAGAAGTGGCGAATGATAAGCCAGTACTACGTGTGCAGCTGTTTCGTCAAACTGCTGATGATACAAAGAACAAAAGGGTGCATAGATCGTTCGCTATCCATAAATTTCCAGAAAATAAAAGTGGCGGATGATAAGTCGTTACGTGTGTAACTAGTTCGTTAATGTTTTAAGTTTCATAACTCTTTTGAGCGAACTCTTGACAGAAAGATGCAAAAATCGTTCATAAACATCCAGAAAATAGTCCATGAACTCCCAGAAAATAAAAGTGGCGGATGATAAGTCTGTACTACGTGTGTAACTAGTTCGTTAATGTTTTAAGTTTCGTAGCTCTTTTGAGCGAACTCCTGACAGAAAAATACAAAAATCGTTCATGAACATCCAGAAAATAGTCCATGAACTCCCAGAAAATAAAAGTGGCGGATGATAAGTCTGTACTACGTGTGAAACTAGTTCGTCAATGTTTTGTGTTCTACGGTACTTTTGGACAAATTGATGATGATACAAAGAACAAAAGGGTGCACAGATCGTTCGCTATCTATAAACTTCCAGAAAATAGAAGTGGCGGATGATATGCCGGTGTTACATATGTAGTTGGTACATCAATGATTTGTACTTTTGGACAAATTACTAATGATTCAAAGGACAAAAGGAGGCATAGGTCGTTCGCTGTGCATACTATTTTTTTTCCTAGTTACTTTACTTGTGGCGGATGATAAGCCGTAACAAATCGCTAATGTTTTGTGTTTCGCAACTTTTTGAACGAACCACACTGATACATGGAATAAAAAAGGGCGTAGATCGTTCGCTATGCGTATACATATTTTATTTATTTAAAAGTTTACTTGCAAAAGTATTGAACGATAAGCACGTACTACGTCCAATTAGTTCATTATACTTCTGTGATCTACAGCTCTTATAGATAAACCGCCGATGCTTATACTTAAGTATAGTTATTTTTGTTAGCAAATTACGACAAAGGAAGTAAGTTATTTTTTCTTAAAAAAATCGTCCACGTAGCAACAAAAGGAATAAAAAATGATGTCAATTAGAACAAAAGCAATCTCTCATTGAAAAGTACACGGTTGGATAAAACCAAATTGTTACGGTCCGCCGATTTATAAAGTTGAACATTGTTTTCCACCATGGTGGCTATATAAGTATTGCGACTGCTTGGAAGGCGAAAGAGTAGAAAAAAAAATATATAAAATACAATAAGTTATGTGAGAAATTGACAATACCGAACAAATTAGGACAAAAACATGTTAAATCCCATTCTTTATCGCACTTTTACTGACCGCCAAAAAACAATGAATTATTGTTCAGGAAAATGGCCGCTCTTTTTAGTTAATAAATAATAATCTCATTATGCATCTTAGCAAGCCACGATTGGTTTCATACCATTAAGCAAAAATCGATTAATTTAGCTCGAATAGGAGGTAAAGCATTGCAGTAGGCGCAGTCGTCTCTACACTCTATCTTTTATTTCGGATCATTAGCGGTATCTTAGCAGGGCGGATACAACAGGAACGGACTTACAATTTTCACTAAATTTATCAGCTAATTACGAAAACAACAATACACTTCATATCCTCGATTAATGGCCCTTTCAGGAATTAGCTAAATATGAAGATGTCTAGTTAATGAAAAAAATCTAACTCGCTAACTTCCGATATCCAAGATGCTATCATTTAATAGAAATTTTAATTAAAAATTACTAAATTTTTAACGCGTCGATTGCGGGAAAACGTCAATATTGCCCCCTGACGAAGTCTTACGTGAAATTAAATTAAGTTAAGGGTACAGAAGGATTTCCCTGATTACACGTCATATGTAAAATGCAAAAATGCACCAAAGGTTTAGGTTAGGCTAGGTTATAGAAGGAAAAGTTTTGTGTCTACTGTTGTTGTTGTATTTGATCAATCTTACGACTTTTGGTCTTCTTCAAGCTTTTTCTTAATAAACGCTAGTCAGCACTGATACAATTAGTATGACTTTGTTTACCTTAATAGCTTAATGTTAACATTCAAGTATATCGTGTTAGGTATTTATGTAGTTTGTACCTATTGATTTTTAGTCTTTTTCCCCGATACAGCCCTGTACTAAATCTTCCTTTTCTGTACATGCGTGGCATGACAAATGATAAATGATACTTTTTAATGGAAACCTAGCTCCCCGAAAGACTTCAGAACACACAAAAATCGACAATGCACTATATACGTTTGTACATACAAAAAATGCGTGTTACAATTGTACGTGCAGACTTCTGCGTTAAGTAAACTTAATTAACAATAATATTATGTTCAACTACTAATATTTTTTATACTGGTAACGCCTTTATAAACTCCTAAATGCAAAGGAATGATTTTTTTCAAATGAAAAATCTAAAATGCTGCAAGGAGAAATTGAAAAACGAAAATTTACCTAAATATTAAAGCGATATTTACAGTTTATCCCACTAGCCCTTTGCTTCGTAAGCAAAAATGATAAAAAAAATATAATTTGGACCCGAATTAAAGAAACATGTCAAAATTGAGATTATTACAAGTTACCTAATAAATTCTACAATTTCTACGGTAAATTCAATAATTTACAATCGAGAATTGTAATTTTTGCGTTGTGATAAAAATTTAGTTTTCTCCGTGTGTCCCCTGTTTAAAATATAAAAAAATAAAACTAAAAATCGTATCTATTAGTAGGTAAGTGAAGTTAATTGCTAGGTAACCAATTGTTTTTTCAAACTGCTTGCTTAACAGCGGGGGGTCTTATGAAAACAGACCCCTCGCCATAAAACATTCTCTCAAGAAACGTTAACAAAATTACACGCTGAGACCATACGCCTGCGTTTGAATTAATTAAATTTAAAAAAATACGTTATTTATTAAATATACATAAACTTCCCACAGTTGTAAAGGACATTCTACTTTTATTCGCTAATTATTTAGAAAGTAATTACGGTATTTATAAGGCCCCAGTTGATTGTATTATTATATACCTACAATAGGTGTTATTTTGTATAACTATTGAATAATTTATTTAAACTTACAGACAAAATACTATTAACGTAAGTTGAAATTTTGACAACAGCATAAAACCAATCACAAATTCCTCAACTTGTAATTATCGCATTTCACAAATTTCACCAATGATTTTTCTTATTGTGTAGACTGTTGTTTTTTTATATATTTTATGATAACATTATTTAATAGTAGATATTTAAGTATGAACGTTTGAACAATGGTTTTTTTATCAATGGTAACGATTAGGTGTAGTTACCTATCTGCTTATCAGTAGTTTTAATGATAAAGAGATGGAAACACATCTAGTGCTTTTATTAAATTTATATGTTGAAATATCTAATTAAGAAATTTTCTAGCTCTAGGCTTTGTAGTTCGGGCAATATTTTTAAAAAATTTCATGTAAAAATTAGAAGAGAAAAATAAGAG